AGATTTATATCTTTCTTTGAGAGGCAGAGTTACAGACAGTCAGTGAGAGGTATTTGAGAGGTCTTCCATCTGCTGGTTCACTCCCCAAAGGGCCAAAGTAGCCATTGCTGAGCTGAATCAAAGCCAGGAGCCAGGAGCTTTTTCAGGGCCTCCCACGTGGGTGCAGAGACCAAAGCACTTGGGCCATCTTCTACTGCTTTCCCAGGCCACAGCAGAGAGCTGGATTGGAAGTGGAGCAGCTGGGACACAATTGGTGTCCATAGGGGATGCTGGTGCAGCAGGTGGAGTCTTAACCTACCACAGTGCTGGCCCTGAGAGTTTCTTGGTCTTTTAATCAAATAAACTGTAATGTGCCTAGGTGTGGGTATTTGTTTTATCTTGCTTTGGGTTTATATAGTGCTTTTTGAATTTGTGGCTTGTTAGTATTGGAAAACTCATAAATCATTTTCTCTTTTCGCTGTAGTCTCATTTCTTCTTAGATTCTGTACATAGAAAAGGTTCAAAAAGTTCATAGAAGATGCATATCATGAAAACCTATACATGCAGCCAGTGCTGCGGCTCAATAGGCTAATCCTCCGCCAGCGGCGCCGGCACACCGGGTTCTAGTTCTGGTCGGGGCGCTGGATTCTGTCCCGGTTGCTCCTCTTCCAAGCCAGCTCTCTGCTGTGGCCCGGGAGTGCAGTGGAGGATGGCCCAAGTGCTTGGGCCCTGCACCCCATGGGAGACCAGGAGAAGCACCTGGCTCCTGCTATCGGATCAGTGCGGTGCGCTGGCCGCAGCGCTCTAGCCACAGTGGCCATTGGAGGGTGAACCAACGGCAAAGGAAGACCTTTCTCTCTGTCTCTCTCTCTCACTGTCCACTCTGCCTGTCAAAAACAAAAAACAAAAAATAAACCAAAAAAAAAAACCAAACCTATACTTGTATTCCTTTCCACGAAAATAATTTTAATGCCGTTTTCCACAAATTTTTTGAAGTATGTCCCTGTATCTATTTCTGTGATAGATCTGTGCCATGTCTTTTATGTTTTTTGTTATTTAATCTTTTTTTCTTTCTATGTTTAACAGAAATAGTTTCTTCTGACTTCAATTCCCTAATTCTTTTTCCCCGTGTGTCTAATGTGTTGTGAAGTCTATCTTTCAATTTCTTAGTTTAGTTACTGTATTTTTCAGTTGTTTAGTTTTTCTCATTGTCAAAGTTTTCAGGACTCTGCCAGAATTCTCCAGCTCTTCGTTGTCATTTACTTTGATTGTTTGAAAATCTGTTTCTGGTGATTTTTTTTTTTTTTTTTGGTTTTCTTATAGGGTCTATTTCTTTTCCTTTTCTTTTCTTTTCTTTTCTTTTTTTTTTTTTTTTTTTTTTGACAGGCAGAGTGGACAGTGAGAGAGAGAAACAGAGAGAAAGGTCTTCCTTTTCCATTGGTTCACCCCCCCAATTGCCACTGCGGCCAGCGCACTGCACTGATCTGAAGCCAGGAGCCAGGTGCTTCTCCTGTCTCCCATGTGGGTGCAGGGCCAAAGCACCTGGGCCATCTTCCACTGCCTTCCTGGGCCACAGCAGAGAGCTGGCCTGGAAGAGGAGCAACCAGGACAGAATCCGGCACCTCGACCGGGACTAGAACCCAGGGTGCCAGTGCCACAGGCAGAGGATTAGCCTATTGAGCCGTGGTGCCGGCCTTTATAGGGTCTATTTCTAATGTCAGTTTTCCCCTTGGGTTTTGATTATTTATTGTTTCTTTGATGTGTGCTTATTTTTTACTGCGTGCCAGAAATTGAATGTGAAAAATAGAACTCACACATGAGTGGCAGGGACCCGACTACTTCAGCCTTCGCTGCTGCCTTCCACAGTGCATATTGGTAGGAAATCGGAATTAAGGAGTAGAACCAGGACTCCAGCCAGGCACTCTAGTATGGGATGTGGATGTGCCCAACATTTTATTTTTTAAAGATTTATTTATTTCATTTGAAAGGCAGAGTTACAGAGAGGAAGGGAGGGAGAGACAGACAAAAGAGAGAGATCTTCATCCACTTGTTCACTCCCCAAATGGCCTCAGTGGTCATCAGGGCCAGGCTGAAGGCAGGAGCTTCTTTCGGGTTTCCATGTGAGTGGAGAGGCCCAAGCACTTGGGCTATTTTCCTCTGCCCTCCCAGGTGCATTAACAGGGTGCTGGATTGGAAGTGGAGCTGCTGGCACACTAACTGGTACCCATATGGGATGCTGGTGCTGCAGGTGGCAGCTTGACTGCTATGCCACAGCACTGGCCCCCAACAGTGTTTTTTTTTTTTTTTTTTTATTTCCCTCACCAGCAGTATCTTTACAGCTGTGTCAAATACCTACCCCATATGTGATTTTTTTTAATATAGATTGCACGAAGAATAAACAGGCATGGGAAGGAACTGAAAATTACCAGTTAATAGCATCATCCTGGGTTCTAGGTTTCATATAACAGAAACTGAGGCAAATAAGGAAATGAAGGCCTTAAAGGGTGTGGAGGGAGATGACTGAAAGGCTGGGAGGTAGAAGTCAAATCAGAGGTTGTTAGACCTAAGGTTAGAATAAAAACACAGGAAGCAGATGCTTTGTTGGAAAATAACTGGGGTATGTATGACTTGAGTATTGAATAGGAATTAGGATTGAAAAGTCTATGTAAGGAGAGGGCCTTGTGCTTAAGCTGGCCTTGAGATGCTCACATCCCAAATCAGAGTGGCGGTTTGAGTCCAGGCTCCTCTGTTCTGGAGCCAGCTTCCTGCTAGCGTGCCTGGGGGGCAGCAGATGATGGCTCAAGCACTTGAGTGCCTGCCACCCATTTGAGAGACCCAAATAGAATTCTGGCTCTTGGCTTTGGTCCTGCCCAGCCCCAGATGTTTGGCTATTTGGGAAGTGTTTGGAAGCTGTTTCTGCATCTCCCACTCTCTGTCACCCTGCCTTTCAAATAAATCATTTATTTTTATTTTTTAAAAAAGTTTCATAAAGTTACATAATGTTTCAATATGTGTGTGGAAGTTGGTTAAGTTATTTTTAATTTTTTAAAATGTGTTTCTTTTATGAATTTGAGTAATAGAAAGAAAGAGAGAGACCTTCCATCCTCTTGTTTACTTCCTGGGAAACTGGGAGCTGGGAACTACAGCTCCTGTGTGGGTGCAGGGACCTGCCTACTTCAGCTATCCCCCGTGCCCCTGTCCCTCAGTGTGTGGGTGCAGGGACCTGCCTACTTCAGCTGTCCCCCGTGCCCCCATCCCTAGTGTGTGGGTGCAGGAAGCTGGAATCAGGAGCACAGCTGGGGCTCCAGCCCAGGCACTCTCTCCGTATGGAGTGGAGTGTCCTGACCGCTAGGCCTATGGCTGCCTCGATGTGTGAAGGAGGTGACCATTTAGTAAATGGTGAAGAGCACCAAAGGAATTTTAGGCCACACTGTACTTTCTCTCTTCTTTTGTCTTTTGTATTTCCCTTGAAGTTATTTTTAGTCTTAACGGTCCAGAAATGTTAAGCAAGGTCAAGGGTGAGGTGGAGAGCAGAAGCCACCACCCAGCTTTGCTGCAAGCTCCACAGACCCTGGATGGATCCGTGAGTAGCGCAGGCAGCATTCTTGAGTCCAACAGCCTGGATGGATCCGTGACTAGCGCAGGCAGCATTCTTGAGTCCAACAGCGTTCTCAGAGCCTTGGAGATAAAGATCTAATGGAATGTATGGAATATTTCAAAATGAAAAGGTACTATACATACGCAGAGTCGTCAGTAATCATGTGGCTGGTAGAGAATTAAAAAATTCACAGTTCCACTGCAGGAAGATTTTTACAATCAACATGTTATTATATTTGCATTTAATTTATTAATGTACTTTATTGGATAGAGTAAAATCTGTGACAAATTTATGTGTCAGTTGGAGCATATTTCATTAGAAGTTAATACTACATGTTCCTGAGTGCTTATGCATATATTTCATTGACTTTGAGAAAAATAAGTGAAATGCTATAAAAGCAAATTAATTGTCACATTTTATAAATTTAAAATTTTGGCTTCTGTTTGGATTCTATAATAAAATTTAAACATTATTGCTTATTGAATATTATATGTTATTTGAACAATAACAAAAATAAAACAACCCCAGTTCTTAAGGGATATTATAACTCACAGTCAAAACGTAATATTAAAAACTTTTTATAATTAAAGTATAAAATTATTTCTTTGTCTCTAGGCAAAATTTGGTTTCAGTAACATTACCGGAATTGATTACTCTCCTTCAGCAATTCAGCTTTCTGAAAGGATCCTAGAGAAAGAAGGGTTATCTAACATTAAATTGAAGGTAAATATTTATATTACTATAATTTCATTTATAATAGAAGTTATGAAGTTTAAGTGTTTCTAAGGTATATTAATTTGCTGACATCTTTTGAATTCATAAACTAAGGGTTAACCATAAATAATCCAAACTGAGCCGGCGCCGCGACTCACTAGGCTAATCCTCCACCTAGCGGCGCCGGCACCCTGGTTTCTAGTCCCGGTCGGGGCACCGGGTTCTGTCCCGGTTGCTCCTCTTCCAGTCCCGCTCTCTGCTGTGGCCCAGGAGTGCAGTGGAGGATGGCTCAGGTGCTTGGACCCTGCACCTGCATGGGAGACCAGGAGAAAGCACCTGGCTCCTGGCTTCGGATCAGCGTAGCGCGCCGGCCATAGCGGCCACTTGGGGGATGAACCAACGGAAAAAGGAAGACTTTTCTGTCTGTCTGTCTGTTTGTCTGTCTCTCTCTGTCTAACTCTGCCTGTCAAAAAAAAAAAAAAAAAAATCCAAACTGAAGCATTTTTAAGAAACTGTATTTGGGGGGCCAGCGTTGCAGGTTAACGCCCTGGCCTGAAGTGCCGGTATCCTCTGTAGGCGAGGGTTGGAGACCCGGCTGCTCCACTTCCGATCCAGCTCTCTGCTGTGGCCTGGGAAAGCAGTAGAAGACGGCCCAAGTCATTGGGCCCCTGCACCCATGTGGGAGACCGGAAAGATCTCCTGGCTCCTGGCTTCAGATCGGCACAACTCCTGCCTTTGTGGCCAGTTGGGTAGTGAACCATCAGATGGAAGACTCTCTCTCTGCCTATCCTCTCTCTTGTGTAACTCTGACTTTCAAATAAAGAAATAAATCTTTAAAAAAAAAAAAAGAGAGACTATATTTAACATTTATTCTAGTTGATTTGGAGAAATTATTTTCTCTTCTTCCTTTTGTGCATGTGTGTTCATACACTACATCTCCAACCCTTGTTTACAAAAAACACAAATAATACTTAGCTATGAATTAACCAGACTAAAAAGTTGTAGACATGAAGAGTAATATACTCAGCAAAGATCATTTAGTTTATTTTTGTGTCGTATAGTCTCTGTGATAATGACTCCCAAATTTATATTTCTAGCCTAGGTCTCTCCTTTGAGCTCTAGAATTACTTAAAGGCTGCCTGCTCTAAAGTTCCACTTGAATAGCTAATAGTTTCCTAATTTAATTAGTCCAATGCAACTCTTGTTTTTTTCCTCAAACTTTTTTTTTTTTAGCATTTATTTATTTATTTAAAAGAGTTTACAGAGAGGAGAGAGGCAGAGAGAGAGAGAGAGAGAGAGAGAGAGAGAGAGAGAGAGAGAGAGATAAATAGATAGAGAGGTCTTCCATCCACTGGTTCACTCCCCAGTTGGCTGCAACGGCCAGAACTTGGCCGATCTGAAGCCAGGAGCCAGGAGCTTCTTCTGGGTCTCCCATGTAATGTGGGTACAGGGGCCCAAGCACTTGGGCCATCCTCTGCTATTTTCCCAGGCCATAGCAGAGAACTGGATTGGAAGTGGAGCAGCTGGGGCTTGAACTGGTGCTCATATGGGATGCTGGCACTGCAGGTGGTGGCTTTACTCCCTATGCCACAGCACTGGCCCCAGTTTCTTGATACTTGTATTGCTGTCTGTTAAGTTCAAGCCGCCATCATCTGTTTCAGAGATGACTACAAGAGCCATTTCATTGGCCTCCTCCTGTCCACTCTTGCTCTCCTGTCCATTTACCACAGGAGGTGAGGGTGACCTTTGAAAAGGTCAGTTCCTTTGGTTTCCTTGCTGGGAATGGAATCTGAACCCTGCATCCAGCCTTATGGAGTCCCACATTTTTTACCTCTCCCTCTGGTGCTGAAGTCCTGGCTTGCTCTCTATTCCTGAAACATGCCAAGCGTGTTCTTCCTATATCATCTTTTTTTTTTTTTCTCTCTCTCTCTCTCTCTCTCTTTTTTTTTTTTTTTTTTGACAGAGTGGACAGTGAGAGAGAGAGACAGAGAGAAAGGTCTTCCTTTTCCGTTGGTTCACCCTCCAATGGCCGCGTCGGCCGGCGCGCTGCGGCCGGCGCACCGCACTGATCCAAAGGCAGGAGCCAGGTGCTTCTCCTGGTCTCCCATGGGGTGCAGGGCCCAAGCACTTGGGCCATCCTCTACTGCACTCCCTGGCCACAGCAGAGAGCTGGCCTGGAAGAGGGGTAACCGGGACAGAATCCGGTGCCCCGACCGCGACTAGAACCCGGTGTGCCAGCACCGCAAGGCGGAGGATCAGCCTAGTGAGCCACGGCGCCGGCTGCTTGTGTCGTCTTTGCACCTGCTACCCTCTGCCCTGATGTTAACACACTGGGCTCCTTCTCATGATTCAGATCCCTGCTCCAGTATCACCTGAGAAATGCTTTTCCAGACTACTTTTTCCAAAATGCCTCTCTCCCAGTCACTCAGCGTCTTATTACTCTGTTTTTGTTCTCTTGATAGCATTTTATCTGAAATTACCCGTGGAACTTATTTCTTAGTCTGTTTTCTGTACTGTAATTGAATAGCACAAACTGGTAATTTATAAAGAACAGATGTTTCTTCAGCTCATGGTCTGGAGGCCTCAAGTCCAAGAGCATGGCGTCAGCGTCTGCTGAAGGCTCTCTTCTGCATCAGAACATGGCAGTGGGACAGACCAGGCATGCCACAGGTCCCTGCTTTTGTTCCAGAGCAATGCCCTCAGTAACTCGTCACTCCACTCTCGAGGGCAGAGCCCTCGTAACCCAGTCACCCCCAGATGTCACTTCCAGATATCACTAACACATGGCTTTGGGGGTTACCTTTCCCCCACTGAATTCTGGAGGACACCTGCAAACCACAGTGGCTTATTTATTGTTTCTCCCTCCCTTTACAGGCTGAAAGGTGTATTTGAATGCAAGGACCTCTAATGTTTTATTTACTGTTATATCCACTGTCTAAAAAGTACTGGCACAACAGATGTCCACAAAATGTTTGTTGAATAAATGAATACTTTTTTGAGGCATTTAGGATGAGGAAGCTTCTCAGTTCTTGAGAGTGGTATTTATTATTTTGCTTTGAGTGCAGTGAATACTGTACTTTGGACATGAGGGAGGGAAACTCGCCTGAAATATAAGTAAACACTCACATTTTTAAGTCAATAAGAGTCTCAGACAAAATACTACTTAAAATTACTTTATTAAATTTTTATGAATAATCATTAGCTAATTGCTTAATTATTTTCCATACTAGCTTTTCAGGTTCAGGTTCATTTGCAAGTATTTGTGGATGTTTTATAAAATTGAGGCAGATCTGTATTTCACATCCTTAAAATGTACTGTTATTGAAAACAAGATACTTATGTACGACTTTAAATATCTAAAATGCATTATATTTACCAAGTTAAGTATTATAGTTTAAAATAGTCATTTAATTTCTCAAGCTTCATGCCATTCATTATATCCATTAGTAGTTTTACAAAGTTGCTCATTCAAAGCATAAGGACGTTTCATTCATCATGTTTACTGTGGGTTACACAGCCAAGAGCATAAGCTAAAAATCTTACTTCCAGTGACCTGAGTTCTAAGTAAGTTTTGTCATTTTGGTAAATACATCAAATTTTCTGCTTTTCAAAAGGAACAGCTTTTTCGTAAAGCAGCTTATGAGCTCTATAATGTGTGGTATTATGAGTCCGAGTACCTGGCTTTGATTTGTTTCCAAATTTGTAGAGATTTGGAATGTCTGGGAATCACTATCAGTTCCTCTTACTACTTGACTTTAATGATCGTGGAATGAGGCTCATAAAGGTTTGCTTTAATGTTGAAAATATGTTTATTATATGTAAAATGCTATCATAACTGATGGGCCCTTTTATCTATAACTTTTTACATGTTTTCATGGAATTCTGTAAAGCTTGTGTGTTCATTGTTCTCATGCAGACCTTGATTTCTAATATAGGTAGAAGACTTTTTGAATCTTTCCACAAAGCTCTCTGGATTTCAAATTTGTATTGACAAAGGGACTTTTGATGCCATAAGCCTTAATCCTGACAATGCAATTGAGAAGAGGAAGCAATATGTGAAATCTCTCTCCAGGGTGTTGAAAGTAAAAGGCTTTTTTCTAATAACCTCATGTAATTGGACCAAGGAAGAGTTGCTAAATGAATTCAGTGAAGGTAAATGGCTATGTGGTGTTTAAATATGGGCTTACCTCAGGTCTCATGTATTTAAGTAGGTTCTTTTCCCCCTGGTGTTACAGTGTTTTACTTTTCTATTTGTGGGAATTGCCTGCTTTTCTTCTCTGTTAATGATCTTGGTAATAACTTTTAACTGTATATACAAAGCATGGAGAAATAACACTGGTTGAGATCCAGAGACCTTTTTAAAAATTTTCCAAGAAATCCTGGCAGTTAAGTACTAAAGTTTATGAGCCTATAAATTCAGGTTCTTTATTTAAGCTATACAATCTATTATTTAGAAAATAAAAAAGGCACATATCAATAAATAAATGCTTCTGACTCCAGTGCACTGATTTCACTGGCAAATCTCCAGTCATGCAAATGATAGTGATTTTTGAAGTCTTTCATGAGTGTTTTTATCTTCAGGTACTTTGTATGTCTTGCTCTAGTTGTCATTTAGATATTTAGAATTTATCATCTTGTTTTCAGTATCTATAAAAAAATTATTTTGAACATTACACAGAAACAAAATGGAGGGAATTGACAGAAGGTACTATCCACTAATTCTTGAATAAATATTCTGTGCCTTTTTAAAGATTTGGGTGCCAAGGAAGGATCTTCTTTGCCATGTTAGAAAAGTGTAATTAGTAACCTGTGTCTACTAAGTGGGGATTCTGTGGGAATTGAAGATCTGTAAGCTGTACACAAGGTATTTTGAATTCTCTGGCAGACTATTCTTCGAATGTTTTAAGGAATATTTTATCTGCCAGTTCATTTATGCAGTGTACAGGCATTTCTGTGAAATTATTTTGGGACTCGTTAGATATTTGCTTGTTTTCCTAAGGGTCCTTTTCAGATTAGTATTAATTTTTAGAAGAGAAATTTCTACAGTGAGGACTTTAAGTAAATGATACTGCGTTAAATTCTGAACCTCAATTTCAAATTAATGGGAGATCAGACACCTTGAGAAGGCAGTTTTACTGTGTAATGTTATTTATGACCAAATGACATATACTTTATTTTATTTTTTTAAGATTTATTTTATTTGTTTGAAAGAGTTACAAAGAGAGAGGTAGAGAGAGAGAGAGAGAGGTCTCTCATTCACTGGTTCACTCACCAAATGGCTGCAATGGTTGGAGCTGGGCCAATCTGAAGCCAGGAGTCAGGATCTTCTTCCAGGTCTCCCACATGAGTGCAGGGGCCCAAGCACTTGGGGCATCCTCTGCTGCTTTCCCAGGCACATTAGCAGGGAGCTTTGTTGAAAGTGGAGCAGCCGGAATCGAGCTAGTGCCCTTATGGGTGCTGGCACTGCAGGCTGGGGGCTTTAAGCCACTGTGTCACAGTGCCAGCCCCCAAGTGACATACTTTATCTCAGATTTTGTTTTCTTTTGGTATTAAAGGAATAATCAGGGAGATGTTAACACATGTCCCTTTGTGTGCTTTCAATGACTTTGACAGGTTGTATCACTGAAAACCTGAAGTGTTTGAGGTGGAATTGGGAGCTTTTGGTTTAGTTACCATTGCCTCTGAAAAACAGGAGTCCTATAGGTTTATTGTCTTGTAATTCATGACATTCATTTTATTATATTCTATGTTAAATTTGTTTCTTTTAGAATTCTTAAGGCTCTGTAGTAGTAGTCTTTCATTTTTCCTGAATTTTGACAGTTTTAATAAATGCTCAGTGTCAGTGTGAAGGGCAAGTTCCTTTTTTGGGTTTTAAATACAGGTGTTCTCTTTTACCCATGGAACCAGCAGACAAAAACATATTTGTCTGTCTTTGATAATGAGGAACAGACTTCATTTGCTATAAAGTGCTGAAAAATGAGTCTGCGTCTGAGACCTATTGAGTAAACTTTTTATGTTCAGTTTTAGAACTAAATACAGATTTAAATAAACAGAATATTGTAACAGGAAATGTTAAATAATTGTATACAATTAAAGATTTTTTTAGCCATGCATTTTAGAAAATGGTGTTCAGTGTTAGATACGGGAGAGTAATGAAATGCACTACTGTGCTTCACTGCCGAAGGTCTTGTTAGAGCTTCTTGGTTTGGATGCCATGGCCCCTTTGATACAGTGAAGCTTGTCTCACCATCTTTAAAGGTTCTTTGCTTTTTCCCTTGTTTGAAAAGTAAATAGTCACAAAGGTCTTGAAACTTGCATTTTTCACTTGATAATCCTGTTTATAAATAGAATTTACAATATCCCGAATCCAAAAACCCTGGAATCCAGAATGACACTGAGTATGCTGCAGAATCCAACGATTTGAACGCTGAAGTGACATTGCATATAGCAAATTCCACACCTTGACCTCATGTTTAGTTGTGGTCAAAGTGTACATACAATAAAAATATTGTATAAAATACCTTCAGGCTGTGTGTCTAAAGATTGTATGTAACATCAACTTCGGTCCCATCCTCAAGATACCTCATAATATATATGAAAATATTCCAACATTTGAAAAAAACCTAAAATTTGAAATACTTGTGGTCCCAAGCATTTTGAATAGCGGTTACTCAATCTGTATAAACATTTTGTGATGGCCGGCGCCGCGGCTCAATAGGCTAATCCTCCGCCTGTGGCACCGGCACACCGGGTTCTAGTCCTGGTCGGGGCGCCAGATTCTGTCCCGGTTGCCCCTCTTCCAGGCCAGCTCTCTGCTGTGGCCAGGGAGTGCAGTAGAGGATTGCCCTGGTCCTTGGGCCCTGCACCCCATGGGAGACCAAGAGAAGCACCTGGCTCCTGGCTTCAGATCAGCGCAGTGCGCCGGCCACGGCGGCCATTGGGGGGTGAACCAATGGCAAAGGAAGACCTTTCTCTCTGTCTGTCTCTCTCACTGTCCACTCTGCCTGTCAAAAAAAATTTTTTTGTGTGTGTTGTCATTTGTTTGGGAGAAGATTAACCTGAATCAGTTGACAGATACTAGTATGTTCTAATTTGATGTGCACTAATTTAACGTTTTAGTTTTAGTTTTATTATTTATTTCATTTTTACTTGAAAGGCAGGTAGAGGAAGATCTTCCATCTGCTAGTTCATTCCTCAATGCCCACCGCAGCTGGGGCTCAATAGCAGGCGTGTGCCAGAGCAAAGCTATGGGCTTGGAGCTCAGTCAGGGCCTCGCTGTGGGTAGCAAGGGTCGGATTCCTTGAGCCATCACTGGCTACCTCTGAGGGTGCAGACCAGCAGGAAACTAAAATTGAAAGTGGAGCTAGGACTCAAATCTAGACACTGTGCTGTCAGATGCAGGCATCCCATGCCATACCAAACACCCTCCCCGCAATTTCACTTTGTTGTAACTCCCTAATTAAAACGAGGAGGAGTGGGTGTGTGGCAGGCGGTGGTTATGGGGCCATATGGGAGTGCTTGGATTCGTTGGCTCCGTCCTGGAGTCCAGCCTCCTGCTAGTGGGCACCCTGGAAGGCAGCAGATGGAAGCTCCGGTTAGTGAGGTTCTCGCCACCTGTCAGGGAGATCCAGAGGGAGTTCTGGACTTGTAGCTTTGGCCTGACCCAGCCCTGGCTGTTGCAGGTGCTTGCGGAATGAACCAGTAGATGGGAAGTCTCTGTCTCTACTTTTTAAATAAATAAAAATAAATTTAAAAATCCAGAAACTAATAACTACCACCTATTTTACTATAAAAGTAATTGGATTCCTTATACAAAAGTTAAAAAACACAAATAACTCCAAGACATAAGCATATAGATTAAAGTAATTAAAGTCATTCATTAACCATCAGTAGGGTATAACCATTATTAATATTTTGGTAAATTATATATTGAGATACACTTGTTTTGTAGTGTTAATGCAGGGAATGAAAAAATTTAGTGTAGGTGTTAGCATATAGTATTGCAGTTCAAGTGCCTACAGAAAGCCTGGGTTCAAGTCCTGGCTGTGTTCCCCATTCCAGCCTTCTGCTGATGCACACCCTCAAAGGCAGTGGGTGATAGTTCAAGCACCTGGGTTCCTGCCACCTCTGTGGGAGACCTGAACTGATATCCCAGCTGCTGGCCTTGACTTGGCTTGGTCATTGCCGCTGTGGGCATTTGGGATGTGAACCACCAAATGGGAGATCTGTCTTTTTACCTTAAATTAAAAAAAAAAAAAAAAAAAAAAAGTCCTGGAAAATCGACATAGACAGGTACATTTTCTCTTGAAATACTTAAACATATGTAAAATTGCTGAAAAAAATATGTGTGTACATCTGAAAAATTGGCTCACATTAAAATATGTCATGTTTTTTTTTTTTTTTTTTTTTTTATAAAAGATTTGTTTACTTTGAAAGAGTTACACAGAGAGGAGAGGCAGAGAGAGAGGGAGAGGGAGAGGAAAGTCTTCCATCCGCTGGTTCACTCCCCAGATGGCTGCAACAGCCAGAGCTGCGCTTTTCTGAAGCCAGGAGCCAAGAGCTTCTTCCAGGTCTCCCACATGGGTGCAGAGGCCCAAGGACTTAGGCCATCTTCCACTGCTTTCCCAGGCCATAGCAGAAAGCTGGATTGGAAGAGGAGCAGCCGGGACTCGAACCGGCGCCCATGTGGGATGCCAGCACTGCAGGTGGTGGCTTTACCCACTATGCCACAGTGCTGGCCGCATGCTGTTTTTTTTTTTTTTTTCTTTTAAAAGATATTTTGTGGGCCAGTGCTGTGGGTGTAGCTGGTTAATCCACCATCTGCACTTCCAGCATCTCATATAGGTGTCGGTTTGAGTCCCTGCTATTCCATTTCCAATCCATCTTCCTGTAATGTGTCTGGGAAAGCAACAGAGGATGGCCCATGTCCTTGGGCCCCTGCACCCATGTGAGAGACTCAGGTGAAACTGCTGGCTCTGTTCTGACCCATCCCTGGCCGTTAGCAGTCATCTGGGGAATGAAACAGCGGATGTAAACTCTCTCTCAGTAGCTCTGATTTTTTTTTTTTATTTTTTTTTATTTTTTGACAGGCAGAGTGGACAGTGAGAGAGAGAGACAGAGAGAGAAAGGTCTTCCTTTTGCCGTTGGTTCACCCTCCAATGGCCGCCGCTGCAGCCGGCGCACCGCGCTGATCCGATGGCAGGAGCCAGGAGCCAGGTGCTTTTCCTGGTCTCCCATGGGGTGCAGGGCCCAAGCACCTGGGCCATCCTCCACTGCACTCCCTGGCCATAGCAGAGAGCTGGCCTGGAAGAGGGGCAACCAGGACAGAATCCGGCGCCCCGACCGGGACTAGAACCCGGTGTGCCGGCGCTGCAAGGTGGAGGATTAGCCTATTGAGCCACGGCGCCGGCCAGTAGCTCTGATTTTGAAATAAATAAAATAAAGCAAAATGCTAGTTAGGATACCCCAGTCTCAGGTCAGAGTGCCTTTGTTGATTCCTGGTTCTGGTTAGTATTCCAGCTTCCTGCTAATGCAGACCCTAGAAAATAGTAGTTGTGTTCCTGGCTCCTGGCTTCAGCTTGGTCTTTGCAGGAATTTAAAGAGTGAACCAGCAGTGGGAACTCCCTCTGTTTTGTCTATGTGTCTAAAAAAAAAAAAAGAAAAGAAAACTTCTTTGAAGTTCTGTCCCTTGGAAAAGGTTCCCCTCCCCTCCCTTCCCCTCCCCTTTAATGCAAAAAATATTGAAATCTGCATAGTTTAAAAAATTTTTTTAAAGATTTTTTTTTTTTTTTTTTTTTTTGACAGGCAGAGTGGACAGTGAGAGAGAGAGACAGAGAGAGAAAGGTCTTCCTTTTGCCGTTGGTTCACCCTCCAATGGCCGCCGCTGCAGCCGGCGCACCGCGCTGATCCGATGGCAGGAGCCAGGAGCCAGGTGCTTTTCCTGGTCTCCCATGGGGTGCAGGGCCCAAGCACCTGGGCCATCCTCCACTGCACTCCCTGGCCACAGCAGAGAGCTGGCCTGGAAAAGGGGCAACCGGGACAGAATCCGGAGCCCCGACCGGGACTAGAACCCGGTGTGCCGGCGCCGCAAGGTGGAGGAATTTTTTTAAAGATTTTTAAAATATTTTATTTATTTATTTATTTGAGAAGTAGAGTTACAGACAGAGGGAGACAAGAAAGGTCTCCCCAAATGGCTGCAGTAGCCAGAGCTGGGCCAGTCCGGAGCCAGGAGCTTCTTCCAGGTCTCCCACATGGGTGCAGGGGCCCAAGCACTTGGGCCATCTTCCACTGCTTTCTCAGACTATTAGCAGGGAACTGGATCAGAAGACGAGCAGCTGGGACATGAACTCGTGACTCCACAAGTGGAGTTTTTTATATATATACTACAGCACCGGCTCCATAGTTTTTCTTCCTAATATGCAGGTTTTTTTTTTTTTTTCCCTTTTGCACATATTTGACCAAGTTTATCTATTTATGTGAAAGGCAGAGTTAGAGAAAGGAGAGACAAACAAAAAGATATCTCCATCTGCTGGTTCATGCCTCAAATGGCCGTAACTGTCAGGAAGCTGAAGCCAGGATCCAGGAGTTTCTGGTTTCCCACATGGGTGTAAGGGCCCAAGGACTTGGGTTATCTTCTGCTGCACTCCCAGGCATATTAGCAGGGAGCTGGATTAGAAGTGAAGCAGCTGGGATTCAAATTGGTGTCCATATTAGATGCCCGGGTCCCAGGTAGCAACTTAACCTGCTACCCACAGCACTGGCCCATAGTACGCATTTTTATAATGTGTATTTTGGTGCAAAAAACAAAAAAACAAAAGATTTTGGAATCCACATTGAGTTTTTTAATAAAATGCATTTTCCGTGAACTTTTTGAGGATCTCTCATGATAAGATGTGTATAGAAAATCAACAATACAATAGTATGTATCTTTTATACATTTTCTAATATTTAAAAGAGTTCTTTTAGCTCAAAGCAAGGAAGTGAAGGAAATGCAGAAACCTATTACTCCAAGGGAAAAAAACTCTTCCCAAACTCCTAGTCCAACCACTGAAGGAAACCTGGTTAACATTTTAGTGAGTGACCTTTCCCCTTTATTTATTTTTTAAATACCAAATGGTAAACTTTTCCATTTTGAACAAGGAACACAGAAGACCAGAAACAAATTGCAGAGAAGAGGCTTTCCCTCAGATCCCAATCCCTGCTCCTGTTTACCAGCTCTGCCAGCCGCTTCCCTGCAGCCTGGCTCACCACCTAGTCTGTAGGAAGTAGCTAGCATGTGCTGAGTTCTCACGACATGCTGTACCACTACTTGGAACTAATCTGTAGCATGCATATGAAAATACTTAATACAGAAAGGTTAAATAACTTGATTAGTAGAAGATGAAAAAGTTGTGGGAATGGACAGTGGTGATGTTTGCAGCATGTGGTAAGAACTCAGCACGTGCCGGCTACTTCTGCAGGCGAGGTGGTGAGACAAGCTAGCGGGGAAGTGGCTGGCAGAGCTGGTAAACAGGAAGTGGAGGGATCTGGATGAGTGGCAAAGTCTCTTTTCTGCAGTTTGTTTCTGGTCTGTTCATTTTAAAGTGTTTTTTGGGTGTATACGCACATATGCCGTGCAGGCACAGTAAAACTGAAAAAAATCATAAAATGAAATTCAGTCACTAATTAAAGTTTGGCATCACTTGGTTTTATAAAGGGTTTAAAAGTACACAGATACGCAAACTTCTCCTTAACCGTGGAGTCAGTCTTTAATAAAAGTATTTTGATTTTGTCTGACAGGATTTGAACTTTTTGAAGAGCTGCCAACACCCATGTTCAGCTTTGGTGGCAAATCTGGAAACAGTGTAGCAGCATTGGTTTTCCAAAAATCCTGAGACTTTTCCACGAACAGATTCAGGTAGCTTTTTAAGAAGCTACACAGCAAAGCAAACCTGATGCAGAGCATGAAAGTATAAATAAAGGCTTAGTAAGTACCAGTGATGCACATGTTGAGTAGATACAATCAGTTGGTTAAAAAATAAAATCCATGATCATGTAAGTGATTGGTCTTTAGAGATCAAGAATAGTTTTTAATTTTCTTTTGTATTTGTAAATATTTTACCTGATAAAAAAATTTTCTGTAATTGCTAAAGTTTAAAACTTTAAAATAGTAAATGAATTTACAAAAAGCATGTATTCTTGATTTTTATGCTTTGGTAAAATTGAATTGACTGTGGTTAGCTATGAAGATTTGATCAAACTATTTCAGAAACAGAATAATAAGTGAAACAACTTTTTTGGTATTTTACTTGAATGTTTATGAAACATAATAAGAAATAGTATTTTGTATTGAATAGAGATTGTTTTTAAAATTACTTAATAGCTGGGAAAACCCCCTGGTCTTCATCTATATAATCCAACAAAATCAGAGCAGTATATTGATTGATAAAGAATTATTTATTGAGCCTGTATTTTCTAACTGATGAGTCTTCTACACGCTGATGGATAAGCAGGTAAGAGGAAAGAAGAGGACTTAGGGATATTATTTGCTAGCACTATGTTATATGAAAGGACGTCACCAAGTTTGTGAAAAAATGGAACAAAAAGATTTGTGAAAAAAATTTTTTTAAGATTTATTTATTTGAAAGGGTGAGTTAGATATAGAGAGATCTCCCATCTGCTGGTTCACTCCCCAAATGGCTGCCTCTGCTGGATCTGGGCTTGTCAGAAGCCAGGAGCTTCTTCCCTGTCTCCCACGTGAGTGCTGGGGCCCAAGCACTTCAGCCCTCTTCCACTGCTTTCCCAGGGACATTAATGCAGAGTTGGATCTGGAGTGGAGCTGCCAGGACTCGAATCCTTATCCATCTGGGGTGGTGGTGCTGCAGACTGCGGCTTTACCCGCTATACCACCGTGCCAGCCCCAGTGCAAAAATTTTGAAATCCACACATAGGTTTTTTTTTTTTTTTTTTTTTTGACAGGCAGAGTGGATAGTGAGAGACAGAGAGAAAAGTCTTCCTTTTGCCATTGGTTCACCCTCCAATGGCCGCCACGGCTGGCGCGCTGCAGCCAGCGCACCACGCTGATCCGATGGCAGGAGCCAGGTGCTTCTCCTGGTCTCCCATGGGGTGCAGGGCCCGAGGACTTGGGCCATCCTCCACTGCACTCCTGGGCCACAGCAGAGAGCTGGCCTGGAAGAGGGGCAACCGGGACAGAATCCGGCGCCCCGACCGGGACTAGAACCCAGTGTGCCAGTGCCGCTAGGTGGAGGATTAGCCTATTGAGCCGCGGCGCTGGCCAACATAGGGTTTTCCATAATATGCATTTTCCACAAACTTTTTTTGAAGACTCCTTGTAATTATTAACTTGTTGAAACTTACCTGAATGGTCTTTTTAAATACTTTCTTAAGTTATTGTTATTTTGTAGTATCTACATGATGTATGTATTGCTTATTCTTGCTTATATGTGTAAGAAAACTGCAGTTGAGAGTCGTTCTGTGAGGTCGAAGGACAAGTATAGGCTGGAGCCAAGGTTCCTAACTGGGTGGGTCTGGCTTTCATGTGTTCTGCCTCCCAGCTGCTGAATCTCTGCCTTTGTAGCTTGTCCAGTTCAATTGAGAGCTAGGACTGATAAAGTGTGTATGAAAATTCAGTGAGAAATGTTGGGCAATTACTTCTAACAGCTCTGTCGCTCCTGGTTGGTGTCGATCACCGACAACTGGTTATAGGGTTGTTCTGTGGACTCTCGAGCTCTTAAGCTTGCCTCTCTCAGAACTGAGTTTGTCATCTTCTGTGCAAGGGTGTCAGTATAAGTTATGCAAATCTCAGAGATATAAGGACAAAAGATGGTGTAGATAGCAAGGAAAACAGTTTATGTGTTAATGTTTTTGAAGAGATAGGGTATATTACAATACTTAAGGCCACTTTGTATTAATATGGGTTTTTAAAATGTTATCTAGGTGTTTGATTTGCAGCTTTGGGGACCCATTGAGTTACAAATATAGCAATTTTTGTTTATTTGGCAAATGTTGCTCCAGTATTAAGTCTAGTTTGACATCCCCTTTTTTCCTTTTTAGGGATTGTGGTGAGGGAGGGGTGAGTCTTTGATGTAGATCAGCATTAGTCATTAAGATCACTGTATGCCTTCCACAAGGTAGCTGAAGATGTTTACATGGACTTTGAACAAAAATCATATTTTCTGAATAAGTCTTGTTTTCAACATGTAAAAAGTGGGAAATTATTTCAGAATATGTACAATTTAAACTTTAAAAATATATTATGTTGTTTTTTCAAGATGAGGAATCTTAAGCCAAAGAAGCATGCAGTTTTATAATTTCTTGAGGAGATCTGGTCTTGCTGCTGGTTTAACATTAGCAGTCTTTCATGTCCAATGTAATAATAGATAAGTAGTCTTTCAGAATTTGGAGTGTGAACTGTATGCGATTTTAAAGCATGAATCCAACAACATGGGCTTTGTGTGTGACTGGACAACAGCATTTTCAGTTCGCAGGAAGCTTGGAGTGAGTCTTTGTTGGGCAGCTCCTTGAGTTCCATGTGGGGTTTGTTCCATTTGCAGAGGGAAAGGCATTTTGTTTTTATCTCCGAGCTGTTGATAAGGTCAGCCCCTTATCACTTTAATCCTGCTGAAGCCAGCCTCTTGGGGACTGACATCCGAACAAATGAAAGGTCCAGAAATGCTAACAAGAAATTAATTTCAAATAATATCAAACTGTTAAAAAACCAGGCCAGTGAATGTCCCCAGGTTACTGAGACAAATTTTAAATACATTATTATTAAACTCGGTATTGTTAAATCATAATTATATAGTAAGTTATGTAGTAAATGCTGTTTTCTGTGGATAAAAAGTTGGAATTGTAGTTTTATTTAATCAAAAGACACTTATTTTGAGGAAACTTGTTTGAAATGCAAACGAGATTTCTCAGTGGAGCCTGCACAGAATTGTTGCTTTTCATTATGATGTTATTGCTGCATAACAGGCCACTTGTGTGTGCAGGAAGTGCGTATGCAAGTCCAAAGGGAATTGAGGCCTGAATGGGCGGTTACACCAATTAACAAATAGAAGGTTTTCAGAACATTTTGTTTTAAGCCAGGTGCACAGTTAGAGTTGCTTTTTGGGACTGGCATTTATGTGTGAGAATCAAACCTGACACCACTCTTGGCAGCTTGACTAAAGCATTTTAAAGTCAGTACAAACTGTCCTTGCATGATTTTTTATTCTATTGTAGTAGCAACGAGCTTGCTTTTCTTCTTCGCTGATATGCATGTAATCTGTTTATTTTGAAAACGGAGCTAAACATATAGAGAAGACTTAGGTTTTTAATGAATACTGTGCTTTTAAAATTTCTGTGATATTGTAATGCAGTACTTTATGATTCACATTCATCCAGGATTTAACAGAAACCTGAATTGTTAAGAAACTGAAGTTACTAAGTTTCTCATGTACTTGAAATAATTTACCTTAAATTACTATGTAGAGAAATAGAGTATCTCCACCCATGTTCACATGCTTTCCATTTCAGTTTATGTTCTCTTAAATAATTATACTGTGTGTGTGTGTGTGTGTGTGTGTGTGTGTGGCTGTCTGTCTGTCTGTGTGCTTGTCTTTTTGTCTGCTGGCCTACAATGAGATAGTACAAATGTGAACAGTTTGTCTTTATGGGAGGGACCTGGGTGTTGAGCACTGTTTTTGGCTTTGTGAGCTAGCATCTGTGTGCTCCAGAGATAGTCCTCTGTTTTGAGAGCAAGAGACCAAGTGTCCTGAGTTCCATGTGGTAACCTCTTCAGCTGATTTCCCTCTTCAGTGGGAATTACTGCTGGGCTTTGAAGGGAGTCTTGTCTAATACACTCCACTGGGAAAGGGCTGCCTGTGACCGAGAGCCTGACTGTGGGAGGCTGAGCAGTGCACCAAGTAGAAAGATGGTTGCATAGTGGGAAAAATTAGGAAATTCTCATCATTTCTTTCCATAAGGCAGGCAAACAGAGATGTCCTTAGAAGAAGGGGGAGTACATGAGCATGCTTTATTAACAGTTAATGGAAGAAAATTAATGCTAATTTATTCTTCATACACACCATGCAGTTTGTTAGAAAAGTAAAAGAATAGTTTGAAATTCTTTGGTCAATTGAAGGATTCATGTTTTAGGTGCATAGAAATGAAACTCAACATTAAGCAGACAAATACTCAGGCCTACAGGCTACATAAATGCTGAATAAAACCAGCTCCACAATGGAACTCTGAAAAGCAATGGGTAAGAAGCCTAATGAATGACTGAATATGACCTTAGCAAAATCCCTGGAGTGTTGTTGAAAGATCATTCATTTCCAGCTTAGACGTCAAGATGGGCTCCAGTAACCTGGAAAAAAAAAGTGAAAAAAAGGGAAGAAAAAAAAAAAGAGCCTGAGTCAGTATTTACTGAGTTTTGAAAATCTCTGCCGCACACTGTGTTAGACCGATGATTAAAAGGGCTTCTCTAGCTGAATGTTGGCTGTCACTGCAAGGACCTGTAGTTTAGGCCCAGGGAAACCAAATTAAAAAATTAGGAATAATTCTCAAGACTTCCATCCATCAATATCCTGCTTTTATGGAGAACTTCAAAAATGGGTGTGTAGGCTGGCAGAATGTGTGTTTGTCATGCTGATATTGTTCTTAAGAAAGACTTGGAACAAGAGACCAGTTGTTGTGCTTTAAAATATTTGCAAATTACTTGCCTAGCTTATTAAAGGAAGATAGAATAAAACCAAAATCTGCATTTTTTTTACTTTTCAGAAGAAATGATCATATTTAAGTTTTACACATGTGTTGTTATTCTTTCATCAGCAAATCAGTTTCTTAGTGATCTTTATTGTGCATGCTTATCCAGAAGCTTCTTAAGAGAATCTGATCCATCTGTTTTCCCAAATATGTAAACATTTGCACATGATCTAGCAATTAGCATATCCTGGATGGTAGCAGAGTAGCTTAGAAAGAAATGAAAGAGGCCGGCGCCGCGGCTCACTAGGCTAATCCTCCGCCTAGCGGCGCCGGCACACCGGGTTCTAGTCCCGGTCGGGGCGCCGGATTCTGTCCCGGTTGCCCCTCTTCCAGGCCAGCCCTCTGCTGTGGCCAGGGAGTGCAGTGGAGGATGGCCCAGGTGCTTGGGCCCTGCACCCCATGGGAGACCAGGAAAAGCACCTGGCTCCTGGCTCCTGCCATCGGATCAGCGCGGTGCGCCGGCTGCAGCGCGCCGGCCGCGGCGGCCATTGGAGGGTGAACCAACGGCAAAGGAAGACCTTTCTCTCTGTCTCTCTCTCTCACTGTCCACTCTGCCTGTCAAAAAAATAAGAAAATCAGAAAGAAAGAAATGAAAGAATGCTCTGGTAGAATAAAGGGACTCTGAACTGTGTCAGTGTTCATTAACGTGTGTGCAGATAAGGAGTTCATCATCCAGGCCGTGAGGAGTGCAGACTGGCAGGCTGGGAGCAGTTGTACTTGGCCTGCAGTTGGCTTCTGGGGAGGAAGAGGCTGACTGCAGGAGAGTGTGGGTGTGCCAGTTCCCATTTGCCTTCTAACCCCTCTGCTCATATGAAAATGTCAGTCCTTTGTTCCCATCTAATTTTAGTACATCCTGACTGAAAAACATGCTAAGATGAAAAAATGTTAGGATAATTTCCAGCCATGGAACTCTGTCTGAGCTGCAGGGAGGGGGAGAGGAAGAGTAGAGGAAAGAGCGGTTTATGCTGCATATCCGCCTGCTTTTCTGGGGCAGCGTCTAGCCCCTACTCTGTTGATTTTGGGAACGAGATAAATTTGGCTGCACTGATAATTAGATTTTCCTTCCGTGTTTTCAGTAAGAAGCCTACTTGGGGTCTGATATGTTGTTTAATCACATGTACTGGGCTGAATTAGAGAGCTGTATGCAAGCTTTGGAAGAAAGGCCTGAAATTGTGAGTGAAAACCACATCTTGTGTTATTTACAAGTAGAACCTTTGAGGGCTGTTTGTGTTTCGGTGAAACTGCCTTTTGACTGTCACATTGAATGACAGTAATATTTGTCGATTTTCGAGAAGCAGTCAGAGGCAAGGCATGCATGTCTGAGCTATGTGTCTGCTCTGTAAGCTCAGCAGACCTAGAAGGGAGATTCTGTGAAGACAATTGGGTTAAATAACGGATAATGTAGCTTGTCCATGACAGGACACAATTCTGCTGGCTCTGTAGTTGGAAGTGTCAGTTATTGTGGTTTTTTAATTAAAAAGTAATTAGATTAAAAGGGTGAAGACGCCAGGAGCCAGGAGCTTCCTCCGGGTCTCCTACGCGAGCGCAGGGGCCCAGGGACTTGGGCCATCTTCCACTGCTTTCCCAGGCCATAGAGAGCTGGATCGCAAGTGGAGCAGCCAGGACTCGAACCGGTGCCCATATGGGATGCCGGTGCTTTAGGCCAGGGCATTAACCTGCTACGCCACAGTGCCGGCCCCTCTGGTCACTGTTTTTCAAAAGCTTTGGGCAATGTGTATGTGTGTGTCTGTGTGTTATTTAATTAAAAAATAAAAGGGGTAGGCTTAAACCCAAACACCAGTTTTGGAGAAGACTGTTGGACCTGGGCAAGTCACTTTCTTTCTTGGGTCTTCAGTTCTCTCTGTAAAACCAGGTATTCAGCAGCTGAAATTTAAAGTTCTCCGTTCTTATCAGCTTAGTGTGCCATAATTAGATACCAGAGATCAGGTTCTGGAGGCTGGGATTCAGGTGCTGGCAAGACATGCGCGAGCCGCCATCATCCTCCCTGCGCGCAGGGGAGCCAACAGCGTTCTGGTGGCCCTTCTAGGGGCACGGATCCTACTCCTGGCCTCACGGATCCTACTCATGGCCATTCCCTCACTGTGGCCCCATCAACAAATCCCACTGTGGGTTAGGGCTTCATGATAGAGCCTGAAATCAATCAGAGGATAGATGAAGAAAGTCCACAAAATAGTTTTCTAGTGTGTTGGGGGATTAAATACTCTGTTAAATATCAGTTGCTAAGTAACTTGATGATTCAAACCATTGTATCTGTTCTTTTTTTTTTTTTTTTTTGGACAGGCAGAGTGGATAGTGAGAGACAGAGAGAAAGGTCTTCCTTTTGCCGTTGGTTCACCTTCAAATGGTCGCCACGGCTGGTGCGCTGCGGCCGGCGCACCACGCTGATCCGAAGGCAGGAGCCAGGTACTTCTCCTGGTCTCCCATGGGGTGCAGGGCCCGAGGACTTGGGCCATCCTCCACTGCCTTCCCAGGCCACAGCAGAGAAGGGCAACCAGCAAAGAATCTGGTGCCCCGACCGGGACTAGAACCTGGTGTGCTGGTGCCGCTAGGTGGAGGATTAGCCTATTGAGCGGCGGCGCCGGGGCCGGATCTGTTCTTACATATGCAAAAATATATGTACATAAAATAGTTGAAGCAAATATTTCCATCTAAAACTAAACTTTAGATTTAAATATTGTCTCTGATACATATTTGATAATTCAGTTTATAATCATTTGACCATAGAGATGGTTTACTGGGAAACCCAGAATTTACATCTTATTGTCCATTCCACTTCCATTTTATATATAGAAAGATTGAGGTTAAGACTGGGCCTATGGAAAATCATGACATCTGAAGCTATCCCTGATTGGGCTCTTCTCTGCCCTGAACATGCAGACTACACGCTCATCCATGACCTAGTTTACTACGCTAAAGTCCCAGGCTCTGAGATGTCTGCCCTCTTATGCTATGCAGAAGTTAAGCTTGAGAGTAGTATCGGGGCCAGCGCTGTGGCACAGCGGGTTAACGCCCTGGCCTGAAGCGCCGGCATCCCATATGGGCACCGGTTCTGGTCCCGGCTGCTCCTCTTCTGACCCAGCTCTCTGCTATGGCCTGGGATAGCAGTGGAAGATGGCTCAAGTCCTTGGGCCCCTGCACCCACGCGGGAGACCCAGAAGAAGCTCTTGGCTCCTGGCCTCAGATCAGCGCAGCTCCGGCCGTTGCGGCCATCTGGGGAGTGAACCAGCGGATGGAAGACCTCTCTCTCTGTAACTCTGACTTTCCAAAAAAAAAAAAAAAAAGACTAGTATCAGTTTATCCCTGTGACTGCTTATCCCTGCAGTGAAACTGAAGTTGTTAAAGGCTAACCAAGTGCCTAATATGTAGTAGATAAGTTCTTTTTTTTTTTTTTTTTAAAGATTGATTTATTTTAAAGTCAGCTACACAGAGAGAGGAGAGGCAGAGAGGGGGAGAGAGAGGTATTCCATCGGCTGGTTCACTCCCCAATTGGCTGCAACAGCTGGATCTGTGCCAGTCCGAAGCCAGGAACCAGGAACTTCTTCCAGGTCTCCCATGTGCGTGCAGGGGCCCAAGGTCTTGGGCCATCCTCCACTGCTTTCCCAGGCCATAGCAGAGAGCTGGATCAGAAGTGGAGCAGCTGGGTCTGAACTGGCACCCATATGGGATGCCGGCGCTTCAGGCCAGGGTGCTAACCCGCTGCACCACAGCGCTGGCCCCCGCTAACAGTCCTTATTTAAGGTTGGGTTCCCTTCAGTCCATTTCTTTGAAGCAACTTGATAGAGTGGGGAGAGAAGCAGTTGTGGTAGACCTCACCTCAAAGGGCTATCTCGGGACAGTCGATGAGCAGCTCCAGTAAATACTCTTTCCCCGAAGACCCTTCTTCCGTTGGAATTGGAATTGTACACCTTGTGCACTGCGGGCTGTGTTCTGAGGTGACAAGGGTGAGGAGAGGAGGAGTCCCGAACAGGTGAGCCATTCAAAACTGCTTGGAAGTCATTATGTGCGGTTCTTTCTTCCTTAGCCTTTGTACAGGGCTGGTGCCGAAGCATTTTTTATGTAGTTCGGAAAAGAGGACTAATATCATAGTTTGAGATTTTCAGGAATGTCCTGTATGATGTGTTTCATTAGCGGCTAAGACTACCCTTCAGGTTTAGATCCTTATCTCTTAAGTTGTAATTATTCAGCAATAAATGTAGGTGTGAGGGAAAACATATTCATTCTTTTATTTATTTATTTGAGAGAGAACACACATCCTCTGATGACTCCTCAAATAGCAGTGACAGCTTGGCCAAGCTAGGGGGCCCGGAATGCAATCAGTGTTTCTCATTTGGGTTTCAGGAACCCAGTTTCTTGAGCCTTCACTGCTGCCTCTGAAGGTTTTCATCAGCAGAAAACTGGAATTGGGAGCAAACCCAGGCACTCTGATGCGGCACGTGGGCAAACGCCTGCCCCTTTTTATTTCCTTTCTTGTCTGTCTTTCTAAGAGGAAAATATTAACATAACTGCATTTGAAAACAAATGGACAAAAATGTAGTGCACTTCCCTTATTAGAAAGCTCCGAATGCCAAGGCAAACAAGGGAACTAAGCTTAGGTCCCCAAATGACCTTGGATTAGGAAGTTGATAGCTTTGGAGTCAATGAAAATTGTTGAGTT